TTTTGTCATAGAAGCTTTGCACCATCTTGACGTGATGGCAGCCATAACAGAAGGCACTGAACTCTTTCTCGTTTAACGGCTCACTGAATGAATCGACCGGCCGATTGGCTAACCGACCGATCGGTTTACCCAATAACCGAGAAAAAGGGTTTACAAGAGTCTTGGAGCACACTTTTTCTATCGACCGACTAACTGAATGAACCGACCGATCGGTTTACCCAGTGACAGTGATTAACTAAACGACCTACTACGAACCTTTGCAATAATATTGAAGAACACGTTTTCGACGGACCAAGCGACCGACCGACTAAATAATTCTTTTGAATTTTTTTTGTACTTCAGTGAAAACGACAAACTTCCAAAGATGAATGAGAAAAACCAAACTGAACTTGAAGAAGAAAGGACGAGAAGGAAGTTAAGTACGACAAAGGTAAGAAAAAATATATCTAAAAAAAATACAGCATTTAAAAACTCTAATAGACCGGCTCTTGCAACACGTCGGAATGCAGCTCAATTTGGAGGACATAACAATAGGTTTCCTATTCCTATGAGATTGAAATTCTTCTGTTTTGTCCTCCAAATTGAGCTGCTTTGACGTCACATGCAAGGGGTCTATTGTATTAAAACGTTTTTTGCAAAAGTGCAGAATGTTTGGGGTTTTTTTAACAACTTTATTGGCCTTTAAAATTTCTCAACAGTAGCAAACAATAATAGTAAACAAACTAAAGAGAAAAAAGACTAARGAAAAAAAATCTAATAATGACATGAGTAATACAAGAAAGAACGGCCAAGCGGGTGGGCGCGAACGGGACCTAGAGTCCCATGTAAAAGCCCCGTTTACACTGGCGATTTTTGGGCGATTTTTGCGGCGATTTTTGTGGCAATTTTCGGAAATATGAAATCTTTTGTCTCATCCTTCAAAAGAGACATTCGTCTAGGAAAATCTTGGTATCCTGAAAAAACTTTACAAATAAATTCTTTACCATTATTTATTATGCACAAAATCGCAAAAAAAAAAATCGCAGCAAAAATTGCTGTAAAATTTGCTAGTGTAAACGGGGCTTCATGCACCTTCGTCACCGCTAAGCCACTCAATGCATGTCACGTTCGCAAAACTGATAAAGAAACTTCACGATCTCGGCAAATTTAATTCTAAAATRAATCTTAAACAAGACAGGAAATCAAGTCCGAATATGTTGATTCATTTGTCAAAAACGTCAAGAAATTCGTATATATATATAAGTTCTTTGTTCTTTGAGAAGTGACGTTGTGTAGTTAAACGATAATAGTTTGTCAATAACTTCTATAACACACGTGTTTCCTCGAACGTTCTGGCATCAAACAAACGCTGAAATACCATTCTCCATCTTAAATCCTCACTAAATGGTCGGGGCATTCTGGATTTTCGATTTACGAGTTGAATTTTACATTTAACGTTCAGGCTGACGCACACGAGGCAAAGAATACATAATGAAACACGTGATATATCTTTTAGTCTAAATRTGGAAATGCAATGTCTTTTTTCTATGGACAACGTTAATGACATTGACTGTATGAAAATAAAACAGTTCCTTGAAAGTRTTAAGTTCCTATTAAAGTAGAACAGAACTTTGGTAGAGTGAATATCATAATATATCCATGAAAACTTTGTAAGAAATTGCACAAATTAGTAAGTTCAGTAGACCTCAGTAGACCATAGACCTACGAAACTTTGCGCTAATGTATACAATTTTTTGGTATGCACTCTAAATGGTATGTACTTTAATACAAAGGAAAACTTTCTATAGGGATACAAATTTACTTAAGATTTTGTCGTTACTTTAATAGTTCCAAAGCTTTGAAACTGTGTAATTTTAAGTTTAGTTTCCAAGCTGCTACAACTTTGAACCGAACAATATTCAAATAATGAGTTTAAAAACTTTTATTAGTGTATGAAATAATAAACTATTTCCATTCTGTTCGAAAGCACACAATTGTGAAGTCATTCTATAACTATTACTTAGCTCATGTAAGAAGTTTCAATCGTTATTTAAATTTGCAATGATGATGAAAACCGTTTTGATTGCAAGAAGAACAAAGATAGGAAGCAAACGAGAAGTAAAATCATATATGATCAGATCATTAATTCAGGCCGTTACTRGTGTAGGTTATGTAATATACCAATTGTACTCAACATCAAAGATGATATCGTGATTCCGAGAAAATTCTCTATCTTCTTTAAAAATTAATATTGCGTGTCTTACCGGACTCAATAGAAGATTAAAGCTTTTTTTTCACTTAAGAGGATAAAAAGAAGGTGATGATAATGGTTGTATATAAAGAGAAAAGAGAGAAGAAAGAGGAGAAGTAAAAAAAGCAGTCAAAAAAAGATGAAGATGG